GCCTTTGGGACAATCTAGGATATACAAATGTGGTCCCTAAATTCTTTTATAAAGCCTCCAAAGAAAACTCAGTAGAATTCAGATTAACCTTAAAAACAGGTCTATGCCACCTGATGGGGCAGGGATATGTTAGGGAATAAAACAGAGACTACAAGAGAATTAGGAATCTTTGCCACAAGAGTTCCAAGAATCTTTTTTTTAAACTTGCTAATTTCATCACAGAGGCAAGGAACTATTTCTCTGCCTCATCAATCACACCATCCTGAAAAATGAAAATACGCTCATTAAGCAAAATGCCATTACAACAGGATAATTTTCAGATCCCATGGAGTGTGTCATAATGGAAGAGTAACTCCTGGGGCCACAAAGAGTACTATAAAGATTGCTTCACACATATTTGCTCCTACTCATTTCTGAGAGGTTGTGTGTATGTATATGTAGTGACAAGATGAGAAGCAGGAACGTATAGGAAAGAAAAGAGCAGGAACACAGTCCAGCTTCCCAGAAACTGACTGAAAGGCCTGAAGACCTATACAATGAAGGAGGGAAATCCCGAGATGGGACCCGAGGTGAGGATTCAAAAGTCAGTGGAAGGTCTTGCTTGCAGTAAGTCAGCCGGATGTATGTCACACTTGCTTTATCTTTGTCTTCCTGCTCTTTCCATTCATGATGTACTCCCTTTAGAGATTCTTTTTTTTGGACCACGGATCTTTGAAATACTCTAATGAACCCTATAAATCCTATTCCCAGAAAACTGCACATATACACAAAGCCGTGTCCACTTTCAAGGCATCTTAGGCCTCCTGAGGCTCCCCTCAGGGGTTGAGAACCCACAGTGCATTTAAGAGTCATGGCTTGCTCATACTATAGCCCCAACTAATGGTCTACTCTCTCATTAAGTACCACACAGTCTCCACAACCTGCAAGGGAAAGGACAGGTATGCTTTGCTTTGCTTTTTGTCTCAGAGGTAATGACAAAAATGAAATACACAGAGAACAGACTTCCCTAGATGAGGCCAAGTTAATGCTGCATGATCTCTGGGAGGGATGGTGTAAAGATGTGAATACTGAATGATGGTCAAACTGTGTGACCTCAAGGGTCCCTTCTAACCCAAGAGACTGATTTTGGAATGCTCTACACAATGGCAGAGCTCTCACCTTGGGGGAAAATCCCCTCCACAAGTGACTGTTTGAAGGCCAAAGACAGCAACCCCCCAGGAGAGGACCAAACTTGTAACCCAGCCGGTCGCCATTCCGCATAGCAACTGTGACCGGGGATTGCTGCCCAAGGCTCCCAGACAGCAGCAGATATGCAGAGGGAGGCTGTGGTGAGGGAAAGGCCACACATCAGTCCTGCCTGGCTCTAAATCCACTGTGAATGTCCTCAAAATGTTCAGCCTAGAGCCCTTCCCATATTTTAAGTCTCAACTTTTGACAGCTGGAGGACACGCTTCTGCTCCCCTCACCCTCCCTCCAGGATTCGGAGAAAATTTTTCACTCATCCTGAAGCCTGAGGAATGAACACTGGACACAGTGGGTTGGGGCAGAACTGGTGGTGGGGAAGAGTGGCCAGTCCCTAGGTATTCCCTCAGTGGAGCAGTGACACCAATACACAGTGGGGGACATGTGACGACTTGGTACTCAAGACCTGAGAAAAGCAAGCGGGAGGCAGCGTGGAAACAGGTACAGAGAATCAGAACAGCACAGGAGGAAAGAGCAGGAACTATCAATGGATACACGAAGTGGACAAAACTTAGTGTTTCCCCAAATTCTAGCATCCTCCTTCCCCCTCCAGATTTTGCCTTTTGCAGGTATCACCTGCACTATAACTTAACAGTTCCCTTTAAGTGGACTCTTCTTAAAAAACTTATTTACCCTCATCCTAAGACATAAAGTGCCAGTTATACTTTTCTCTAATGTACATTAGAATAAGGCATAAGTACTAAAATAAAAATGTATTCCACATTCCACCTAAAATCACCTGGCACCACACAGAGGTCCAGGTGCCACCCTTTGTCACATGCTGGGAGCCATGAGTCCTGAGTCTGAAGTTTGGTCCTGACTCCAGCCTCACCTCTCAGCATGACCCCCCTGGGAGCCACCGCCTCCCCATCTTACAGTGAAGGAGAACCAGGTAAACTCTAAAGCTGCCCTGCATGGTTCTGACAGTCAAGGTTGGCAGATTTCTATGTGACTCTGACAAAGGTACCCACCAAGGTGACATGTTAGCAGAATCTCAGAAATGTCCTGGTTTCTGCTCTTTTAGGGTAGCTACAGACAGGGAGAGGGGTAAAGCATCCGGAAGCAAAGGAAGGAGTGACAGGAAGACAGTCTAGTGTAAAAGGAGGAATGTCAGATTTGAACCCAAAATACAGCATCTCCATTTACTAGCTGAGTTTAAGTTTTTTTCATTTTTAAAATGAGGATAACCATGCCTCTTTTCCCTTTATACAAATGCTCCTCAACTTTCATGCAACCTGAACTTTCAAAAACTACACACCGACAGCCCTAAACTACTCTTGAAAGCCCCATTCAGACTTACATACAAAAGCTGGATGACATCTGGGCCCTTCCCACTAGTTACCAGTTCAGTTTTGGCAACTTTGCTAGTGGAGTTGAATTTGTTAAATTAAAAAATGTATTGCATTACCCGCCTTTTTTAGTAATAAGCTTTCTTTAACTGACGCAAAGGACAAAGATGGACAAAAAGTGGCAATTCTTAAAGCCTGATCTGGTGTATACTGGACTTAAATCTTGGTCAAATGTGTGCTCAAGGGCTTCCCTGGTGGCACAGTGGTTGAGAGTCCGTCTGCCGATGCAGGGGACACGGGTTCGTGCCCCGGTCTGGGAAGATCCCACATGCCGCGGAGCGGCTGGGCCCGTGAGCCGTGGCCACTGAGCCTGCGCATCTGGAGCCTGTGCTCCACAACAGGAGAGGCCACAACAGTGAGAGGCCCGTGTACCGCAAAAAAAA